GGGTTTGTTATCACCCACCAATCCGCACTGGGTCCGTTATCACCCACCAATCCGCACTGGGTTTATTATCACCCACCAATCTGCGCTGGGTCCGTTATCACTCACCAATCCGCACTGGGTCCGTTATCACCCACCAATCCGCACTGGGTTTGTTATCACCCACCAATCCGCACTGGGTCCGTTATCACCCACCAATCCGCGCTGGGTCATTTATCATCCACTTATCCGCACTGGGTTTGTTATCACCCACCAATCCGCACTGGGTCCGTTATCACCCACCAATCCGCGCTGGGTCATTTATCATCCACTTATCCGCACTGGGTTTGTTATCACCCACCAATCCGCACTGGGTCCGTTATCACCCACCAATCCGCACTGGGTTTGTTATCACCCACCAATCCGCACTGGGTCTGTTATCACCCACCAATCTGCGCTGGGTCCGTTATCATCCACCAATCCGCACTGGGTCTGTCATCACCCACCAATCCGCGCTGGGTCCGTCATCATCCACTTATCCGCGCTGGGTCCGTTATCATCCACCTATCCGCACTGGGTCTGTCGTCACCCACCAATCGGCCTGGGTCCGTTATCACCCACCAAGCAGTAGATTCATGTATTTTGTGACGGATATTGTAAATTGTTTACTGTTGAGTCTCCGGTGCGCGCGTAACGCAAAAATCCTCACACATTCGCCAGTTTACCCCCCAAGTCAAGCGTGCCTAAAGAAATTTCACTTCAAAAAATCGCGCGCGTCAGATATTGAGAAAGGATGTTACGTGAACCCTCCAGTAGCTCCTTATCAAAAACTTGACGAATTGGACGCGCCCAAAGGTCATGGGCCGTTTCCCTACTTTATTGGCATTAACCGTGACCGTCTTTGGTGTCAACGTATGAATATTGTCATCCTTTAGTAAATTGCTTTCATTACTTTACAGCATTTTTACTAACATTTTTTTTATTATATTTAAAACTTTATCCTTAATTCATTAGGGGCTGTCTTTTTTCAATTCTCGGATAATACTTAATTTATATTCAAAAAAATTGAACATCGTTTTGAACATCAAAATTAACATGAATGAAATAAAATTAAATCATTGGTATGCGTGAAAACATTAGAAATAAATATGAACTTATAAAAAAAATACCAAACTTTCATTAAGTCGATATAATACGATATCAGACGAATAAGTTTTATGCAAGGATTGATATAAATCTTTAATTAGTGAATCTTTTCGCAAATATTGCAGAACTGTATGGTTTTCGAATAACTTGATTCGTAAATAGGTCATATTATTGCACAGTGACATTGCTATATGTTGGTTGTATTGCAGTCTTTATTGTTAAGTGGGTTTATGCTTATTAGATTAATTAATTATTAGCAAATTGTCAACAGACTCAGTTCTACCACGACTTTTATTATTCTTTGATTTTTTTTTATATTAAGGTAGGCAAATGACTCTACCCTACCTGATGTTAAGTGGTAATAAAGTCCAAACGCGAAGATAGCTGGTACAGCAGTTATAAACTGCTACACCAATCATCCTCACCTTGCCGGCCTGCAAAAATGCTTCTTCACGCCTCTCTTAAAGGACCCCAGATTATAGGAAGGAGGGAACACTTGCGCGGGTAAAGAATTCCTATGAATTGATATGTTCCTACGGCGTCGCTTGCAGTGCCTAAACCAACATGTCACTATCAGCACAGTATTTATTGTTCTGAGATTATAAATTGTTAAATTGTAACTGCACCCTTTTTTTCATTACATTATTTTTTTTATATTTATTTTATATACGGTAACATATTCAGAGTCGAAAAAACAATGAATTCTATGAGAGTAGGTGTAGTGTCACTTAATATCGAACTTATTGCCAATAACAATAAAAGTTACAATGTCTAAATGCATCTAGAATAGGGAAGATTCATATATAATATTTATGAAAATTTTATGATTAAAATGTTAAAAAAATATAAAAGAAATGCCACTGCAACGTTTTTATTTTACATAATGTTGTTTTTTAACAATTATTACGAATTAAAAATACTTGAAACGGAACGTATTTTAAAACACCAATCAGCGTTTAGTGACGTCATTCCTGTTATGACAACTTCTTTGAGGTTATGGTTGTTAAAGTAAATATTATTTTATGCGAATATTTATTGCGTTTTTTTACATTTAATAAAAATGGAAGTTGCGTTTATCAAAGCAGACTCCAGGAATTTACCACGAGTTAGCGTTGACATGGTTATAACTTTTTTTGTCCAAGGTGCAGAGTTTTTAAGTGTAGAAATGAAAGGGACTAAATTACTACGGTATGCAAAAATCGTAGTTGTTAAACTTCGTATTTTATGCAGCGGCTTCTACAAATCTTACGGCGATAATGCAATCGGCTATGTCCAAATTAAAAGAGATGGAAAATTATGTACAGTAAAAGGTCGAGTTCTTCGGAGCATAAAGTACGTAAAGAAGGTTATCGTGTTACAGTTATTTTAAATGAAACGCAAAGCTTGGTTCAGTCCTGCCAATGTGAAGATTGTGCCACACATTTTAAACTTTATCTAATTTTCGACGTCATTCTCCAACTGTAAAATTAAAAATATGTTATAGACAGGTTTTGTAAGTATTAGGTAGGTTACTAATGCGTTTTTACGTACAAGCAGATTAATTAAGCATATAACAAGTATATTCGCCGACTTACGTCAAAGTGATCTTCTCAGCATCGAATCGGTCTTTGGAGAATAATTGTCATTTCTCTTCGCAGCTTGAAACCACTTTTTTTTCAGTTTTGGGTCAGAAGTTCCAGTCAAAAACAATTTATTTGGGAACTTTGTTGAAGTAGATTGGCACAAAACATGAGTCAACACGGCTTTTTTTCGGAATATTAGGTATTGTTATGATCACATGATGTTGATGGATAGTCCAATTAAAATTTTTCAAAAATATATTTCGAAAGTCGAAAAAATATGCAAAGGTATGAAAATTTAAAGCCAGCAACGAACAATTACGACCAGTGACAGACAGGAGTGACGTCATCGCAACCATAGGTTCGTTTTCGCGCAAAAATTTAAATTGTCAATTTAAAACCGCATTTTTTCCGATAAATCACAATGTTTTAATTTTTTAATATATCTGTGGTTTATTCTACATGGAATTCTTTAAAATGAAAACAAAAATAAAAATGTTGCATCTTCCCTATTGCGTCACTGGAAGAACCGATTGACGGAATATAAGGAATGTACATTTTAAACAGTGCGCCCACCCACTGATACTTTTTTGTCGTGCTGTCCAAATTGAACATCAATTACATGGGAAATGATACAAGCCATAAAGGGAAGTTACCGCGTTTACTAAACTACCGAGTTAATGTTGAAATGATTTTTTATTTTATTGGAATATTGTAAAAATGTATCGAGTTATAAATACAATTATTATTTTAATGTCCTCACTTTGGTGAATTGTATTGATTATGTACTGTTAGTTATATGGTAATAGTTTTTTTTCCTATTTAAATCTGAACGAGGGTTTTCTGGCATGACGAGCACCAGGTGGCAGCACAGTGATGAAAGGTATACTCAACCGTCAAATCACGTATGACGTCATAGTCTATAGATCAATTTAAATGCTCATTCAATTAATTCGCGCCAAAAACTTCATACAAAAGACCTAATTACACAGCGGTGACGTAAATATTCCTAAACACCCTCATTGGTAACATTCATCTGTTTTTGTATTATACTTTATAAAGAAACTGTTTTATAACATATTACCATTATAAAATAAATGATTTGTTTATTCTTGGTCTGGGAAATGATGTAAGAACCTTGTGTTTAGAAACTATAAAATAGATTAAATGATGAACGCAGAAGTTTATATTGTTTCACATGTGGTTAAGGCATGGCGGTTATGAAGCCGTGTATATAATGGTTAATTATTTTACACCAATTCCTGTGTACATAAACAAAAATGCAATAAATATGAATGTCTTTCACAAGTTCTTTGCTGATACGTAAATGATGATTTACTCAGAAGATAACTTGTGATTTTGTAAAACTTTTTTAATATCGCAACTGTACGACATAGGTGACAGTCTTGTTTATAGTATATATAGGCAATTACACATTCTGAGAACAAATACACCATAACTATGCCTTCACGGAGACGTGACAAAGGTGGCAATAGACTAAACGTTATATCTACATATATTATAGGAATACTCTTTTCACCTAGCTCTACGAGTAAAACAACATATAAATGGAGAAAATATACTGTAATCCTACTTTTGTATGCCGATATTATTATAGAACTAAACTGAAAAAAAAACAATTTAGTTCTGTTAAATAATATTCTGTGAAATAAGCTGGCAAATCTTTATAGCTGTTACTTGACAACATTACATCTTAGGCTCGTATTACAGAATGACAACTATGTGATGATCTTTACTTGAGTACAGTGAGAAAGGGATGGCGCTATGTGCTATATAGAGCGACGTCTCTTTCTAACTGTACTCAAGTAAAGATCAACACATAGTTGTCATTCTGTAATACGAGCCTTAATGAAAAAAAGGTTGTCTCCCGCCACCTTTTAAACGCCGAACCAAATGCGCGTGTCTGTACCACAATACAGCGAACGAAGGTGCATACTAATGAGGTTTTCCTCGAATGACGGTCGCCAGGTGACAGAACTGAGATGATAGGACTACTCAACCATCAAATCGCGTATGTCTTCATAGTCTTTGGATAATAAATGCGCATTTGATTGTTTTCGCGCCAAAAACTTGATGGCGATGTAAATGTTTTAAACAGCCTCATTGAAATTTGCTCGTCATTTCATTATTTACTTTAAGTATATTGAACTCCGCTATCTCATATTATATAAATTAATTGTGGCTTTGTTACTTGATAAATGTACGTTTACTTGTTGGAAAGCAGCTGCGATTGTAAACTGTATTTACACCTTATAGCTATTAACGGGATTGTTACCATGTACCTTGTTTTTTATGAGTTCCGATATTTCGGCACTGTTGCAAGCGCCATGATAAAAACAAGGTACATGGTAACAATCCCGTTAATAGCTATAATGTTAGTGACCATGAAAGTTTAAAACAATATATGTATTTACACCATTCTGTTCTACCGCTAGAGCTAGGTGGGAAAGAGAGAATAAGCATTCAATGAGAGTTTTCGGAAATTACGGGCAGCAGGTGGCAACATTGAGATGAAAGGTCTACGCATCCGTCAAATCGCATATTTTCTCATTGTCTATGGAATTCGCTCCAAAAACATCATACAAAAGATCTGACGTCACAGTGGCGCCACCTGGTGACGTAAGATTTCACAAACACCCCTCATTCTGTGACGATTGTGTTTTATAAATAAAAAATACACGAATTACTGCCAATCAATTGTTTTATTTGAAGTCAACTCGAGAGGATGCGAATATGGCTTTAATATTTGCTTCGTAAAGTTTGTTTTCGGCGCGGTACGGCGTCCCCACTATCGCTTGTAGTTGGAGCGTGCTAACGAGCGGAGGTTTGAGCGTATCCTTGTTACCGCATAAGTTCCGGAGATGATACCACGCCGCGCCTACGTCGTACTTAAGTATGGAAACGAAGAACTCCACCGCTAGTTTCTGTGAATGAAAACACGTGTTAAAGTGAGTTTGTTGGTTGCATGCTTTTTGGGAGAATACTTATAATATAAGTATATTTATATAGAAATATACACTAAACATCCATGACTGATGTACAGACGCTAGTATTCATCACACAAACATGCCCGCACCGGATTCGAAACCGGGACCTCTCGAATCGGCGACACCATGAAACCCGGCGTACAAACCACTCGGCCGCGGAGGTCGTCAACATTACATAAATAAATAGTCACAAATATCATTTACCAGCGGCTACCCGCATTAATTTAGATTTTTTGAAAATCTCCCGGGAGCCTAACATTTTCCCAGGGTAAAAAGTATCCTATTTATCGATCGATATGTGTGCCAAATTTCATCTAAATACTTTTATTAGAATTTGCGATATTGAGATTGATTAAACAAACTTACTTTCGTACGTAACGTTACGTATCACAGATCTAGAAAAGGAACTCATTGTTGCAAATAACCACCTAACACATTTCTTAAGGAAACTGCACATATACAAAGCCTTTTTGAGCAATTAATGGCATCTCCCGGAGCGCCCTTGACTCGATATCAACAGCCTATTGCTTATGAGAACACTACCGTACAAAACTGTGTAACTAACAAGAAAAAACTATAAAAGTATATTTGCATTAAGTACTAAATTTATAAAAAGAACAAGAAAGACACTTTCAATTTCAAATTGACTGACCTCATATAATGCTCGATTAAAAAGATATGTCCTCGAAAATTACCACGCGCATCCCGCTTCTCAGCATTTATTCCAAATCAAACCCAAACAAATCTAGGAAAATCAGCACCACTCAATAGACTTGTAAGCTTATAAAATAACCACTCTAAAAACTTAGATATTTTTACCAAAATCTTGTCTCAATTTAAAAGAGAATTGTATGACGTACTTAGTAGTAAGTAATACTGATTAAGTACTTTAGTATAATTAGTTATATAGATTATGCTACTGGGCGGTAGTCGACCCGACTATGAACCTTATAAATAGATATAGACAATGTCGAATAAGGAAAAAAACTAAAAAAAAATAAAAAAAAAACAGATTGGTCTGGGGTGCCGCCTTGTAGCCAAAACTAGCTCATAGTTGCTGAATGATAGAATTTGTTAATTTTAGTTGCTTACTATTGCGCATGCCGTGGCAACCTATAATTAAAGCGACACTAATCCTAGCTTTAAACTGCTTCTTTAACTACTAATACTGACGCTGTGTTATGTTTCTAAATAAATAAAAAAAAAATGGATACGTGTAACTTATGTACGCGCGTGAGAAGTTATACTTCTTTAGCATCAAATAAAATATTTTTTAATTGCATGCAAATAATTAATAATTACAATAAAATAATAAAAGGACTGGAAAAGGACAGTTAACACAGTCAATTAAGTTCAGTTTTAATTTGAAAAATTAAATAAATATTCAAAATATTCAATTAAAATCACTACTGAATTTAAGTTATTAGTCCATATGTAATTAGCACTTGTAAGTAACTAAAACACGTTGTGTCTATATAGAAACTAGAAACATGTGGATAAATATTATAAATATGAAAACAGTGATCAGAGGCGACGAGCGTGCCAACATTGTTTTTGACAACGCGATCATTTTATGGAGCTCCGTGGATCGTTCAAAGTACCTTTCGAACAGATGTCTAATAATGGTGGATTATTAACCACTAAGTGGTTAATAATCCACCATTATTAGACACTAACATTCATAACGCGCCCGCGGCCAACTTCATGGTGTTACTATTGTGTTACAGTGATGCGCGCGCATCTCAAAATTTCACTCACATGATTTTTTCATAACGCGCCCGCGGCCAACTTCATGCTGTTACTTTTGTGTTACAGTGATGCGCGCGCATCTAAAAATTTCACTCTCATATTTTTTTCATAACGCGCCTAAAGAAGTATAACTTCAAAAAACAAAATTTAAATGATATAAAAATTATGACTATAAAATGAAACCTTACCTGCAGTTGTTCCGGCTGCGTCCCTGCCAGGTATAGTTGTACGCATCTCATGGCGTCACTCAAACTATCATCTCGCAGCTGCAGACTGCCGGCCAGCGTCGGCATCGCGGCCAGAGTATGCGCCTGTACTTGTAGTAACGTACTGGTTCCATATACAGGGGAGGAGGCCTTCAGATTACATTCAGACCACTTGTGGAGGCTGCTGTAGATGTGGGGCATCACCTCCCTGCGTAAAATATATCATTCATCATCATCATCAGCCTATTAATGTTCCCACTGCTGGGGACAGGCCTTCCCTATGGATGGAATAGGCAGATTGGGCCATGACCCACCACGCGGGCCCAGTGCGCATTGGTGGGTGCTAACGACTGCAGATGCAGCCGGGACCAACGGCTTAACAAAATTTTTGGTCACCCATCCAATGACCGGCCATTGAGAAAGTTGCTTAACCTCCACGATCGCAAGACGAACGCGCTAAACCCCTGCGCCATTGAACTCCTTCAAGGCAAAAATTTTGTCACTGCATAAATGCTGATTTCATATTACGATTCTGAAATGTTATGGGTGAACATTACGAGTAGTATTTAACGCCACTAATGTGAATCAACTTTTCTTTACTTTGTTTTTCACCTCCCTATTTTCTTGTATACCTACTTTTATCTTTACTATCCTTCTATGCTTCCTCTTTCAGACTTCTGCCCGCGCCCCTGGCTGTATCAAATAGCAGCCTTGAGCACGGACAGTATATTATTAAACATGTTGAAATTTGATTAAAAATAACATAATTAAAAAGACATATTGTAAATAATCGAATAAAAATATTATGAAAAAAAAAACATTTTTTGTCAAATTAAACAAGAACGAAATATTATATTCTGTTCAAAATATTAATTAGTAAGTATATAACATATGCTGTAATCAGCAGCTTTAAAAAATCTATTTTAGATACTAATTCGCACTTTGCGGTGTTATTGAAGCACTAGTCTACAATCACTTCTAGATTCAGTGGTTTAAAGTCCCGCTCTTCTGAGCAAAAAACAGTTATAGAAAAGTAATTACTCTCTCTAGACCACAGATGGGCAAACTTTTTCCTTGTCGCGCCAATAGGGTATTTGACAGTATTAAAAAAAAGTGCCAATTGTTAGCATCTGTGTTTAGAATAAATATTGGCAGGGATTTTCACTGCTTTTACATAAAAAATATTCATAATTTTACTAAAACCCACGAAAAAGATAATAGTTTTCTTATCTATTGTCACGTGACCCAAAACGCTTGGGATTGGCGGAGCCTAAAATGACGTCACACGCAAGTAAACTTCCGGTTAAAGTGACATTACATTGTATCGTTCGACGTTCTAATAACAGTCGTGTGACGTCACACACTAGTAAGACGCCATATTGTCCAGAGAAACGTTTTCGCGGCAACTTGAAAATTGAGTTTTTGATTTGGTTATTTTCACTGAAGTACACAACAGAATGATGAATATCCACTTTTTACGGACTCCATAAACATTAGTCAATAACGTGAGATCGTTTTCTAAAACTTGTCAAATACCCTAATGCTACTTTGAGAATCGATGGCGGGTCAAGTTTTTGCAGAGCACATACGACGGGGAAAGACCCCCTAGAATTATTATATTAAGTAAATCATCAAAATAAAGCTCAGTTACGAATACCCCATGCTACAGCCCTGATGGCCGTGTCGATTTTTTTCTAGAACTTCTTCAGCTGCAAGGCCAATTCGACACGGCTGTCAGAGCCGCGGTAGCATAATGGTCATTCGTCCGGATAGCGAAGGGTGCGGGTTCGAATCCCGTTTGCCGCCTGGTCCGCGTGGATTTTTTTCTAGTAAATTTTTCTTTGGATTTAAACATCTAGCAGTTAAATGCTTAAAAAATAAATAAAAACATAACTATAATCGCTATTTCTTCTTTCAAATGTTTAATACTTGAAAAAGTATTCGTTTGACATTGTGGGTTGCCTACAATGCGAAGAGATGGCGCTGCCTTGCAGCTTAAGGCTAGGAAAATTTCGACGCGGCGAATAGGGCCGTGGTAGCATAATGGTCAGTGCATTCGCCCGGATTGCGAAGGATGCGGGTCCGAGTCCCGTCCGCTGCCTTGTCCGCGTGGATTTTTTTCTAGTAAACTTTTCTTCAGTTATGATTTTTTTTAATGGAATTAACAGTATATTATGTGTGACATACTTGACACATCTGTGATGTATGAAGTCCTTGGAGAGCGTCGCCATGGTAACCAGCAGGTCGAGCGCGCGCCGCCAGATAACGGGCTCGTATGTCGTGAACCTGTTTATTAAACATCATGTTATAGTTTATTTATTTATTTATTGGAAAAAACACGTACAGCTACGTAATAGTGTAGTACCAAAATCAAAATTAATAAAGTAAACATAATAGGGTATTTGACAAGTTTTAGAAAATGATCTCACGTTCTGTATGTAATGTGTAGTTCTATATGTAATGTGTGGTTCTGTATGTAATGTGTGGTTCTGTACGTAAGTGTGGTTCTGTATGTGATGTGTAGTTCTGTATGTAATGTGTGGTTCTGTATGTAATGTGTGGTTCTGTATGTAATGTGTGGTTCTCACAGTACATACCGTACAGCTAGCGGGGCCCATATCCTATGTACTAGCGGCAACAGTTCATCCTGATAGTTCATCAGTACAGGCAGCCCGGTACTGAGGGCCCGCATCGCCGTCGAGGCGGCGTCGCGTCGCTCGCTCGATACAAACACCCGGCAACGATCCATAATCGAAAGCGTCACCGACACGTGCTGGGGCAATGGCTGCTTGTCCTCTACCAATGGAGATATGATGCATAAGATGTTTAACATTTATTAGATATGCAAAAGTGAGTTGGTTTGTTACGCTTCCACGCCTCACGTGGCAGTATAGTGTAGTAAAGGGCCGTTCAGTATTACGTAAGCACTATAGGGGGGCAGGGGGGTCTTTGCGTTGCTTATTTTTGATGACATAGGGGGGTGGGGGTCGAGATAGTGATTACGTCAGCATCATGAATTCGGGTGTCATGGACTGAAGATTGTATACATATACCAAAAATTCGAAAGAAGTTGGTTTTGTTCGTAATAGGACCTTCCACAATGTTGAATACTGTGTCAATAAAGTTTGTTTCAATGAATATTATGTGCGATAAAGTCCTCTATCCTAAGCCTATTTAAGTACTGCTGCTAATGAAGCTCATGAAAGCTCATGAATGAATAACAAAAACAGAATACATTAAAGGGAAAATGCAAAGGTACCAATGTTTACGTAAGCACGAGAGGGGGGGAGTAAGAGCTTTGCTTACTTTTGCTGACAAGGGGGAGGAGGGGGTAAATAATTGTAATAAATCTGCTTACGTAATACTTGAACGGCCATTAATAGAGGTGATGACGGGGTACAGTAAACGAAATTCTATTTAGTCCGTCAGTTAGATGATCGAAAAATAATGGACACGTATTTTTTCTTTGGGCAATCAACCAAAAAATGACAAAGTTTTAGCGCGTCAAAGTTTGGGAGTAGGGGCTTGTGACGTCACTTTTGAGTGAATTTTCCCTTATAAGTGTACTCAAACGTGACGTCATGCGACTTTTCAAATCAATATATCTCTGCAATGCTTATATTATGTGAAAAAAGAAAAAATACGTGTCCAATACTTTTTGATAATCTACCTGATAAACGAAGAAAAAAAAATAGTCATCATCCCTATTCCTGCCACGACCATGGATGTTTTTGAAGTGAAACTTCTTTACGCACGCTTGACTTGGGGGCTAAGCTGGCGAATGCGTTACAAGTTACGAAAAGTGTGTTCGGGCGAGGCGAACGGGAGTTGAGTGGGGGATATAAGCAAGAGAGAGCAGTGCGCGCGCACATTTGCTTTCTCTCTTTCTCTTATAGCTAGTAAATGAAATATGTAAATCGCAAAAATCAAAAAGGTTTCGTTCCGCGATCTGATACCGTAAGTATTGTGTGTCGGGAACAGGCGCGAGTGAATAGTGAGAATGTGACCACTGGTAAGGGGTATCGAGCGCAGTAAAAGACGACGTCGGAGGGTAGATCGATATGTCTGCCAATAACATCTACCCGCAATTACTCCAGTTACTCCGTGATCATGGCGCTTGCAACAGTGCCAAAATATCGGAGACTCATAAAAAACAAGGAACATGGTAACAATCCCGTTAATAGTAATAATGTTAGTGATCATGAAAGTTTAAAACAATTTTGACATGTCACTAAACATTTTTACTAAGAAAATATAAAAAAAAACAAGAAAATTTGTCAACTAACTTAATTTCTAATATAATTTTCTTAAGATTTAAACATCTAGCAGTTAAATGCATAAACAATATACATATAACTATAATTGCTATTGTTTCCTTCAAATGTTTAATACTTGTAAAGGTATGGTATTCATTTGACATTGCGGGTTACCTACAGTGCGAAGAGATGGCGCTGCCTTGAAGCTTAAGAAATATTAGAGGAAATTTGACACGGCCATCAGGATCGCGGTAGCATAATGGTCAGTGCATTCGTCCGATTCGGGTTCGAGTCCCGTCTGCTGCCTGGTGCGCGTGGATTTTTGCTAGTATAATTTTCTTAAGATTTAAACATCTAGCAGTTAAATGCATAAATAATCAAATATGACTTTTTGGTATCCGTAGGAATTTCGTGTAACTCCCTGTGACATATAAAATAAAATGATTGCAGTCACTTATGTAAACGCATAACTAGGTACCGAAAATCTGCACCAAATTAGGTAATTCTAAAAAATAATATGCATAGTAAAGGACAATGTTAAAATTGGCCTAAGAACCAACACCAATTTGGCATTTATGATAATTCTTAGTATATTTTTTGCGATAATTATCAGTATTTAGATTGTGACGGACACTTCCAGTTAAGTAAGCTAAATTAAAAAGTTAATAAATAATCTGAGACAATAAATACCATTTTAAGTGTATAATCTATGACAGCACTGCAAACAAAAAATACTTTCTTCCTAATGCCGGCACTTCACTTGGCTATTTGTATTTGCTATTTAAAAACATGACATGTCTGTCCTTTTCATTCCTTATTAAGCATGACAAGAACAAACTGTTCTCAAGTGAAGGGCCGGCATAAACTCGATACTCTGTGGTTGTGGTGCAGGCAGTTTGCATTCGTAGTAATCTGTGGCATTCGTGCAATCTCGTCAAAGAGTAGGTACTTTTATATACGGAAAATTCTCGTTCGGATTACCTGTTGTGTGTGTTTATTTGCTATTGTTTTTCCTTTATTTTAACTATTTCTATTTCGGCTATCTAATATGCCATCGATGTTACCAAAGTGCAGAGATCTTATTACCAAGTGCTAGTGAACCTGTGCCACAACATCCTGAGAGGATCATACTGCCAAATTATTCAAGAGCACCTGATACACATTCACGCTGCATATTTACCTAACCAAGTTTTTCCTAATAGTTATTCTTTAAAATCGCACCGAATAAAATGAATTAGTTGTAATATTAATTCACTTCATACTAAGTTCATAGTATGTACTTTTATTGAATGACCTATGTTTCATTAAATATTAAACATAACCTCAAAAATATTTTAGTTTTCCTAATAATTTAAGTTCTCAGAAGTGTCCGTCAATAATCTTTGTTTTTACAGTCATTTACTTGCGATTTCGAACCTAGAAAATAATATTTCATGATTGTTGGTTCTTAGGCTAACTATGTATGGACGCAGAACAATGTCCTTTCATTAAAATCCATTTTGTAAGTAGTTTTTGCGTGATTGAGTGACAAACATAAACGTCCGACTCACGTTTATAATATTATTTGGATTAAAAATTGATCTTCTTTATGAAAAAAATCATTGATTTAATCGATGATATAATTTTAATCTCTTATGAAAAAATCTTAAAGCTTATTAATGTTCTATTTGATAAAATTTTATGGAAAACCAATAAATGAAATTAACATTGAAAAAAAAACTCACCAGTAACTCTATCGTCGTAATCGAGTGCATCCTCCTCTTTCCGCTTCAGATCTTCTTTATACATCTCTTCTACACTCCTACCCGTCTCTTGTTCAAACTCTTCCGTAGCCATTAATCTCTCCACTTCTTCTGTATTCCTAATATACTCTAACAAGTCTTCCATTAAATCTAATTGTTCACTACTATTCAGATTATCGTTATCATTGTCATTATTTGGAAACCATTTCCTTATACAATCTAAGAAAGTGAGAAACACCTGTAAATACGCCTCTAGGTTGTGTTCGTAGTATTTATCACAGCTTTGGACCAAAACCTGTAAGTGGAGAAAATCAAATTGCAGTAGGTAATAATAGGGGTAATGACGGGGTACAGTAAACGAAATTCTATATAGTCCGTCAGTTAGATGATCAAAAAATAATGGACACGTATTTTTTCTTTGGGCAATCAACCAAAAAATGACAAAGTTATAGCGCGTCAAAGTTTGGGAGTAGGGGCTCGTGGCGTCACTTTTGAGTGAATTTTTGCTTATAAGTGTACTCAAACGTGACGTCATGCGACTTTTCAAATCAATATATCTCTGCAAGTTTATATTAAGTGAAAAAAGAAAAAATACGTGTCCAATACTTTTTGATAATCTACCTGATAAACGAAGAAAAAAAAAATAGTCATCATCCCTATTGTAGATCGGATATATAATAAAAATCCCCTTTTAAATTATAATTTCGTTTTATTTTAATTTAACAACTTTACTTCCTTACGTCCTAATCCCGAATCACTGCCGGATTTAGGGGAGGGCAACCGGGCCGAAAGCCCCGGGACCTCCACAAACGGGGGCACCCACAATAGAGACTTCGGAAAAAAAAACTTTCAAATTCCAACTAGTAAACACTAGTAAACATCTTTTCGGTTCCGTTCGTTAACTCTAAGATTTAATTTCAGATAATTCTTGTTTCCGTTTATATTTATATGTGTTTGTTCAATACTAAGGGAATCTACTTGGCTCACAATAAATTATTTATTGAAAAACTCGACTGAAAAAAAATTGTTTACTTTATTTGGAAAATAATTTGGGGTGAGGGACCTCCGCTCCTCTGTTGCCCCGAGGCCTCTGGACCTCTAAATCCGGCCCTGTCCCGAATCCTAATGTTAATATGATATCCGTTTGACAAAATGGCGCTAATACTCTTCTGTCCTTCTTCCTCATGCATACGTCTCGCTCACACACTCGCTACGTTCCGATTCCCACATAATTTTATTTGGATAGAAAAATGGTTATAACGTGACTTTGGTATGAAATAAAATTCTGGTGAGGTGGAACTACGAGCTAATCACTTCATTATCAGCCTATTAATATCCCCACTGCTGGGGCACAGGGCTTCCCTATGGATGGAATAGGGAGTTTGGGCCATGACCCACCACGCGGGCCCAGTGCGGCTTGGTAAGTGCTAACGACTGCAGATGCAGCCGGGACCAACGGCTTAACGTGCCTTCCGAAGCACGGAGGAGCTCGAGATAGTAAATTTTTGGTCACCCATCCACTGACTGACCACTGCGAAAGTTGCTTAACTTCAAAGATCGCAGCCGAAGGCGCGAACCACTTGCGCCATCGAGCTCCTGATCACTTGGTAATGATATAAATATGCACCAGTTCTAATTAACTATTTAACGCTGTGAAGTTTTTATCGCCAGTTTTTCACCACGGCTAAAAAATGTCCTTAACTGGCGGTAGGGAAAATAATTTGGACGATTCAAAACAGTTGTATTGTGCATTCAATATGAATAAAGAAATTTTGACTTTTCACTATTAATAATATAGAATCGAATAATATTTAGTTTTTAGCTTTGGAAGGAAAATATGAATACTTACATCTTTGGCGACTCCGCAAAGAAAGTCGAAAAGACTTGGGTCACTGTACTCCATGACCACAGACAATATCTCTAATGCCGACTGCGTGTTCCATGCCTATATGACAGCAGACAGAACAAAAAAACTCGTTCATTATTGACTTAAATCTAAAGAAAATTTTACTAGAAAAAAATTCACGCAGCAAACCTGCCTTGCAGCCTAAGAAATACCAGAAGAAATTCGACAAGGTCGCTAAGGTCGCGGTAGCATTATTGGTCAGTGCAACCGCTCGGATAGCGAAGGGTGCGGGTTCGAGTCCCGTCTGCTGCCTGGACCGCGTGGAATTTTTCCAAGTATTTTTTTAGTGTTACACATCTAGGAGTTACTTGCCTAAAAATAAAATATTTAAATAGTCACAAACGCTCTCGAAACAAAACCGCGAAAATACTGGAGACAGATTTTTCCAGAACACCGCGAATCGCGATAAAGGTTTGCGGGTGCGGCTCATTCTAATATGAGCCTTATGCAGTGCGGCGTAAGGCAGAAAGAGCAACGACATCTACACTTGTTTACAAGTTATGCGCGTTACCTGCGTAGGTATAAGTAGGTACTACGCACTCGCGGGTGCTAGTTAACTCTCAATTTAACGAGACTATTCTAGAATGCGTCGGTTGGCGTATATAAGCGCGATCGGCGCCGCGCAGAGACAGCTGAGTTTCAACAGCGATTTAGGAACAAATACAAAGGCGATAAAAGCGCAACAAAAGTCTTCAAGTGCGCTTGTTCAAAGACTTGTATAGTGAAGTAATGAAATGAAATGAAATGAAAAGTCATTTATTCAGTCTAGGCTGTTACAAGCACTTGTGAAAGTCAAGAAGCTACGCCATCGGTTCGCAAAACTACGGCGGGAGACCTTGTACTGAGAAGAACCGGCAAGAAACTCAGCAAGGGCTGCTTTTTTCTCCCTGTATTGATATATACAGAGTCGTCAAGTTGAAAAATGACTTCAGACATACTTTTGAAGTCACCTTCCATTACATTATTTAGGGTATAGATATATAGTTACAACAAATTTTATATTTAGTATATATAGGAAGCGGCATTAGATAGGTACCATACTACTGTTACAAAACTGACTCATACCCATCAAATAAGAAATTACAAGAAACACTATGTCCATGCATTACGATCATTTAGATAATCATTAACTTTATAATAGCCCTTATTCATACAGTACAAGTACAGTGTTAAGTGAGTGTTTTGGGATTAAAATTGTGTTGACTGTGTGGTGAATAAAGTGCAGTCAAGCGTGAACTGGGTCGTCGTATTTCTTTGAGGGTAGGTGTAAAGAAAGGTTCTGTTAAAAGTTATCCAGTTTTAATTTTGTTAAAATATTACATATTCAAATTTAATCTCATTTTATTATATGTTGAATTAATATTTATTACACAATACCTGCCGGAGAGTGTTATCTTAACTGTTGCTCAAACACATCAACAATTTTTTTTTTAAACTACACTTCACTGCTCTGCCCATCAGCAAAATGGACACCATCCAAGACACCCTGTCACAAATGCAGCAAATGTTTACTGAGAGGATGAATAAATACGAGAGTGAGCTTCAAGCAGCTACCCCATCATCCACAGTAGCCAGCCTCACTGCCGATTTTTCCACATTCCGGAATTTTATCTTGACTACTATTCGCGGTCTCCAGGATCAAATTGGTATTCTGTCACGTCAGGTGGATGGCATGGAAATGCATAGCCGCAGAAAAATCTTACTATTTCATGGCTTGCCGGAGACTCCAGAGGAGGACGCTGCTGCTGTTGCTGTGAAGGCCATCACAAATCACTTAAATATAACATCTCTCTCTGTTAGGGATGTCAGTCGTTGCCATCGGATGGGGCGTTTCACTGGCAATGATCGGCCTCGACCCCTTGTGGTGAAGATGTGTGATCTAAATTTGCGGAATAAAATTTGGTTCTCCAAGGCAAAATTGAAGGGGACAGGCATAACGATATCAGAGTTTCTAACGAAAGGCAGGCACGATGCCTTTAAAGCTGCGCGAGACAAATTCGGCGTTAACAAGTGCTTCACTCGGTTGGGGTTTGTGTTCGTTGTCGGTGGTGACGGAAAACGACACCGTATCAGCTCTGTTAAAGAACTCCATAAGATCCCAGCTCCAGTTACGGCGACGCCTGTTTCCCCGAAATCTGTGGCCCAAGCATCAACCAGTATCAGTTCGCATCCTGAGGCAAATAAGATCCCAGCTCAAACTGCGGAAAAGCCGGAATCTCCGAAGCCTGCTGCACAAATTTCCACCAGGGGCAAGCGTACGGCCAATGCTGCAGTTAAAAAGTAGATAAATGTGAATTTGTTATATCTTGTTAATGTTTACTTTGGTGCATCGTCTCTTCAAGTCTGTGTTCCTTTTTATAATCTTTCAATCCTTCTGTGGATCCTATCGTAACACCGTGTCCATTCACCCCAATGTGTCCCCATCTATTTCATCTCTTCGTTCGTCATGAATTGAAGGTAAAGCTATTTATTGTAATTTTTTCTAACCTTTAATTTATTTACAAATTTTCTAACAAGTTCTTGACACAATGTATTGAAATCCTAATGTCAAAATTACTTTTAAAAATTCACGATTTATGTAGGCTAAGAATTCTTTGTTCATACAGCCACCTTTTTTTTTTTTTTTTTGTTTTCATTCTTTAAATCGGTTTTATGATTGGATCCACAGACTTCGAGGTGCACTGTAATAATGTAACTAAAAATGATTTCTTTATATCTTTGATAATTTTTGCATTGCTACTTTTTCGTCTATTGTTTTACTTATGCTTGATTCCTAATAGGGAAGATGCAATATTTTTATTTTTGTTTTCATTTTAAAGAATTCCATGTAGAATAAACCACAGATATATCAAAAATTTAAAACATTATGATTTATCGAAAAAAATGCGGTTTTAAATTGACAATTTAAATTTTCGCGCGAAAACGAACCTATGTTTGCGATGATGTCACTCCTGTCTGTCACTGATTGTATTTGTTCGTTGCTGGCTTTAAATTTTCATACTTTTGCATTTTTTATGCATTGCATTTTTTCTTATTTTTTCACACACGAATTTCGAAATATTTTTTTGAAAAATTTAAAATGGACTATCCATCAACATCATGTGATCATAACAATACCACTAATATTCCGAAAAAAGCCGTGTTGACTCATGTTTTGTGCCAATCTACTTCAACAAAGTTCCCAAATAAATTGTTTTTGACTGGAACTTCTGACCCAAAACTGAAAAAAAGTGGTTTCAAGCTGCGAAGAGAAATGACAATTATTCTCCAAAGACCATTATTCGATGCTGAGAAGATCCCTTAACGCAGCTATACTCTAAGTGTGTTCCGCGGAACCCTAGGGTTCCGTGATACCTCTGTCGGGGTTCCGCAAGAATTTAGAAATAAAAAAATCAAAACACCTCTCTCTGGTCGCTCCGCGGCTGTGCGGACTCCGCGGCCGCGCGGAGACAAAACGCTATGAATGTTATTTATTTATTTATTTGTATTTGTATAAGCTTGTGTTACATTAGCTGGTACAATATCTCATAAGTTTGGTCTCAACAATTTTATACTTGTACAACGCGTTCGCTCTAAGTTTGCCGGTCTGTGGAATGCGCGTACCCTCCCCCACGTGACAACAAAACTTATAATGTGTCATAGTTTTACCCAAATATCTAACGTACACAATTTTTATTGTTACAATTAAATAAAAAATTTCGAACGTCATACACTCATACCTATCGCCAGCGGCAAACTTAAAACGAGCGGGTAGTATACTTGTAAGCGCTCAGTCTCTTTGATAAAAGCCGCCTCTGAATTAGACGCTATAGTTGTCAACTAGCGACTTTCGTCTCTAACTTCAAAGGATAAAGTCGATATTGTTTACAACGCTATTTTTAAATTTCTGTTTTTATTTTTGCTTTTTGTTTATCAAAGGTGCCGACTCGAGTATTTTCGAGAATATTTGAGATCGAGTCTAGGACTAAGTATAAAAGCGGCGATCGCGCGTTGGCGTCGTCAGTTGATGATTAGCGTTCGGAGCGATAAGTTACTACCTACTTACAAGCTCGCTAGCGAGAAACTGGTGTTCATTGTTTTACTGCCTGCTGTATTCTGTTGTCTCAGTTTTATACATTTCTTCCCTGTAGGTTCTAAATTTAGTCTCTTATACGCAGTAACGATTGTGCATTATTTAAACCCCACTATCCTGACTTGTAACATTATAAATAAAGAAGAATGGAACGTTGGCTTAAAGGTGTTAAACGTGTTCCAACAACATCTTCTAATGACGCTGAATGTTCAAAAGCAATGCGCGCGGAGAATTTAGCAATCACCGATCCAGAAGATGATGCCACGAGTGCCACGACGTCAAGCTCGACGGTTTCAAAGACGAAAAAAAGGAAGTATGATGAATCTTATATCAGTTTCGGATTTGTTGATTCCAACGGCTCACCTCTCTGCATGCTCTGTAGTAAACTGCTTCCTAATAGTTCCATGGCACCTGCCAAATTGCGTCGACATTTAGAAACCGTACACCCCGAGACTAAAGACAAGAATAAAGAATTTTTTGTTCGCAAAAAAGATCAGTTATTAGAAAGTCAAAAAAATATGATGCATGTAACACAAACTACCAACGAAAAGGCCACGGAGGCATCATACTTAGTTAGCTATCGCATTGCACAAGCAGGTGAAGCGCACACTATCGCTGAGAAATTAATAAAACCATGTGTATTAGACATAACAAAATGTATGCTTGATGAAAAATCTGCAAAGCATCTTTCTACTGTTCCGCTATCAAACGATACTGTTTCACGACGAATCCATGATCTGGCAAGCTACGTCAAACAAGAACTAGTTACACGTCTACAAAATACACGATTCGCTTTGCAAATGGACGAGTCGACTGATGTCGCTGGTTTGGCTATCCTGCTGGTTATTGTGAGATATCCATATAAAAGTTCTTTTGAAGAAGACATGCTTATGTGTTCATCGCTGCTTACAAACACTACCGGGGAAGAAATTTTTAATAAAATAAATATATTTTTTGAAGAACATAA